ATGCTGTCGCTGAAACGATGGGCTATCCTCCTGGAGTACTGTCTCTTAGCCTCTCTGATGCCGCGGGATAGATTGGCACTAGCTGTTTTCAGGCCCACCTCATCTTCAGCTCTGAAGGCAGTTTTCCGAGCCTTCAGGAGTCTGTAGACCTCCCTTATTTGTCATGTTTTGGACAGGAGCTTGCACTTTCAGTGCTCGAGGCCTGTGAGTGTTATCCAATGAGAAGCTCCATTTGCGTTTGTCCCTCTTCTTGAGAGATGAGTGACAAGCGTTTGCGTCTTGCGGTTCGGGTCCAGCAGTTGCCGAGGCATGGCGAATACTTGGATCGAGGGATTCGCGGGGTTGAGATGCCCTTTTTGGGTTATCGGATCCCGCGGATAGCGCTCAAGTTGAGCAGTGCCTTAGGGAATGTGTGCCTCCGTGTTTGGATTCTAACACTCGAGGGTATGTTCTGCTTTTGCATTTGTTTCTGTGAAGAGCACGCACGTTCAGAGTTAAGCGCTTATTGTGATGAGTCACGATGTCTAAGCTCCGCTCGCGTTTGTGCCTATTTCCGAGGGATATGGAACATGGTGTTCGTGTCTCGTGGCCCGGTTCCACTGTTGCTGCGGCACAATTGATCTCACCTCGCGGTCATCGCTTTGATCTGCGGCATCTGCACACCATCTCTATACGGGTTGTCAGATGCCACAGATATTGTTGGGTTGTTATGACGATGAAGTGTGAGCACGGGGTCGTTTTAGTCTTGATCCTGCGAGATCGTGGGTGGAGCTATATTCAGCTCGGCTGTGCCTCTCTAATATTCATGTTATTGTGTATTAATTTTCAGCACCTAGAGTGGTTATGGGGAATAACTTTTTGCTTTGGAATATGGCGGTCTGAGGGCAGCTATATTCTAGCCTAGATTCTAATAACTAGGTTGGGTTCCCCTTGGCACAAGTTTTCGAGTAAGTGCTGAAGCATTTGTTTAGGAATCTGCTATTCAAGGATAGCTGTGTTCCAGCACGGAGACCGCTTCCCTTTTGGGGTTTTTAGATTGTGGTTTCTGTGAGCCCATTGCCTGGACTGTGCTGTCTCCACTTCGGGGTTTTAAAAAGATGGCCCGCTTCCATGGCCTGGGTAATCTTCAGCCTTATCTGAGAGAACTGCTATTCGAGGATAGCTGTGTCCAGCCCTCTAGTGCTATGGCTACCGCTTACATCAGGCTTGATCTTGGACTATGATATTTGTGTTCGCTCTTTAGCGAATCATTTACTGATGGCCTGGATCTCCCTCTTGTGAGATCTTAGTCAATAGCATGGGGCTTTGGTAGCCTACTGTGAGACTGACATGGATTGGGGACCTCCTTAATATAGCCTTCTGAGGGTGGTTATATTCCAGCCATTGTTTTTGGCATGACGGGCTTACTTGAATACAGCTATCTGTGGCTGTCTGTGTTCTACTGCAATTGCGGTGAGCCCTCTCATGTAGTGGGCCCCTTTCCTAGAACCTAGCTATCTGAGGATAGCTATGTGCTAGCTCTGTGATCACTCCCCTGCTTAGGGTTTTAAGTAGCGGTCTCTTGAGCCCTTACCTAAACAGTGCTGTCTCCCCTTTTTGGGTCATAACTAGACAGCCCACTCTTTGTGGTCTGGGTAGTTTCAGTCGGTCCCCCTTCTGGTAGCCTTTCCCACGTACATGGCTATCTGAGGATATCTGTGTGCTAGCTCAGTGATTGCTCCCCTGCTTAGGGTTTTAAGTAGCAGTCTTTTGAGCCCTTACCTGGACAGTGCTGTCTCCCCTTTTGGGTCGTAAGTAGACAGCCCACTCTTTGTGGTCTGGGTAGTTTCAGTTGAGCCCCCCCTTCTGGTAGCCCTTACTAGGTGCATAGCTATCTGAGGATATCTGTGTGCTAGCTCAGTGACTGCTCCCCTTCCTAGGATCTTTAAGTAGTGGTCTCTTTGAGCCCTCGCCTAGATAGCGCCATCTCCCCTGCTAGGGTTGTAAGTAGATAGCCCACTCTTTGTGGTCTGGGCAGCCTCATAGGAGGGTTTACCTGGTTATTTAGTAGCTGTGCGGGACTAGCTGTTGATAGCTCAGTGATTGCTCCCCTTCTTAGGATTTTTAAGTAGCGGTCTCCTTGAGCCCTTACCTAGACAGTGCTGTCTCCCCTGCTAGGGTTGCAAGTAGACAGCCCACTCTTTGTGGTCTGGGTAGTTTAAGTCAGTCCCCCTTCTGGTAGCCCTTCCTAGGTGTATAGCTATCTGAGGATATCTGTGTGCTAGCTCAGTGTCTGCTCCCCTTTTTTAAGGTTTTTAAGTAGTGGTCTCTTTGAGCCCTTGCCTAGACAGTGCTATCTCCCCTGCTAGGGTAGTAAGTAGACTTCCAGCTCCGTAGGAAGGCTATCTTGGCTATGTTATTTGGGTCCACAAGCCTTCATTAGACCTTAGGGACATAGCTATCTGAGGATAGCTGTGTTCTAGCTCAGCAGCTACTCTCTTTATCTGGGATTTAAGTAGCATCTTTTGAGCTCCTCTAGAGGCTTTCTAGTTCACCTACTCAGTGGTCTTGTGTATCCAGGCTAGTTCTGCTCACATAGCATAGCTGTTCTCTTGACTTGGATGGGATGTTCCCCTTGATCTATTCGGGTTCCCCTGTTTCTGCCAAGTTGCGTGAGCGGCCCGTGGTGTCAGTGGCATGGTCCCTTTCTGAGGAAAGGCTTTGTTTGTCTGTCGCTTCCTTGATGCTCTCCCACCAAGTGGGCAGGCATGCGCCTCGGCACGGTGTGTTTGGATTTCGTTCCCCAATGTGTCCCCTAGGGAGCGCAGCGTTGAGTTCGCTAGAAGGGGAACGTCTCGGGTTACGCATGTAACCATGGTTCCCCGAGAGGGAACGAGACGCTGCGGCCCCTTGCCATGCCATCGGCCTGCCTGTCTACGTCTCCTTCAGACAGCTAAGTGGATGACGTATTCAGCAGGTGCCCTTTTATACTTCCGGGCATCCCGCCTATGACGTCATGGGCCAGGTGGGCCAATAAATCGGTGTTGTTTCACACGTGCTTCAGACTCCGGTCATGCAGGCTGCATTCCCCAATGTGCCCCCTAGGGGGCGCAGTGTCTCATTCCCTCTCGGGGAACCATGGTTACATGCGTAACCCGAGACATTCTTTGTCTTTGGGTTTGTCTTTGTCTCTCTAGGTCAATCACTTCTCTGTGTCTCAGGCCATTCCATGTTCTGCATGTTGTTGTGAACCAGTCATATTAGAGTGGTCAACGCTGTCCTAATAATCGTCCTCCTATAAGCAGAACAGTTTAAAAGAAGGGTACTGGCTAACTTCAGTCAGGATGGTTAACTTCTAAGAAGTGTGTCTGCAGGATGCCGATTGAAGGATTGCTGTTGCTTGTTGCCACAATAAATAGTCTTCAAACAAACAGGCAATGTGACCAAGCTTGTGTCGAAATAAGATCTGAACCAGAGTGGCAGATATGATACATACTTTTACTGTTTAGATGACATATTTTGGTCCCACTTTATATTAAGTGGCCTTAACTACTATTTACTTACATTTAAATTAATAATTTGGTACAATGCTCTTATTGTGTACATGTTTTTACATTGTACTTATATTTTAAAAATACAACTGTAATTACACTGTTGACCCATCCCTTACACCTTAACTCACCCTTAAACCTACCATACCACCAAACCTGTCCCTAACCTTACCTGTATCCCACCTCAATAGCAGCAAAAGTGTTTTGCAATACAATATGAACACAATAAGTACATTGTACTTATTTTTTGATG